AGCTGCTCATTGTCGGAACACCCCATTTATCGGGCCACTATAGAATATAGCTGCCAAACAAACTGACCGATCAAAGTTATTGTAAGGAATCTTTTGTATATGTGAAGGGTATTATAGCTTCGGTCAGATAAAGTTAACGTTTTTTCGCATGAAATTATTACCGTTGTTGATGATAAGGTGCGGTAGTCGTCGTTAATATTGTGGGACTATTGGCTGCTTATTTATTTTGTGCACTACTTTTCATACCTAGATTGAAGTATTTTTTGGTGTGCTCATGGACCACACATGCGTTCGTTGAAAGAGCTGCGGCTTATATATTTGTGGAAAAATGTGCAAAATTGTTGCATAAACTCTTCACATTTTGCAAACGCGCCAGAAGCAAGTGGCAAGGTGATAAGATCTGCTCCCAAACATTTTGCGACTTCATTAAACTTAAACAAGTTAAATCTGCTGGGACTACAACAAAAACATTAATCCAAACTCGAAGTAGAGAAATAGTTCACTGCCTGCCACACGCCAATTTGCAAGTTGCCAAACGATGCGCCTACAGCATTCGCGCGGCAAAATTGCCTACTTGGCGGCCAGTGCGGCAGCTATCTAATATCATAGCCCTGAGAGGCCTCGATGCCGCGACGGCAGCAAAAAGACGCACAGAGTGTCAATAGCTGCCACATTGACGCTTCGTCGCGCGCAACGGCAATTGACGAGCTGGCACTCATGCTTTCCGCGCTGCTGTGTGGTTGTGTTGCACGGCTACTTGAGTAGTTCACACCAATCAACAGCAGCGCCATCGCCATCACCATCACAAAAGCACCAAGCAGCAAACACCAACCACCAGGCAGCCAGCAGCAGTTGCACAACTACACTCCTTCAACGTGGCATTACCACTACCTTCTATGCCACATTGCGGCACTCATCAGGTTTTGCTGTGGGTCATGTAGCAATCATAGCAATGCGAGTTTGTACGTGCGCGGCACACATACACACAAACATTTGTTTCACTGTGTGGCATATTTTTGTGCAACATGCCACACGTACAAAGTATGAGTGGAAAAAAAGAAAAATTCTTTGCTGATTTCCATAATCCACTTTCCTGACGCTGCTGTTGTGTCTTGAGGCTCCAGCCGCCTGACAGCCGTGCAATACATTTAGATTTTCTTAATTTTTTTTTTTTTTGCTCGTAAATTTATTTATCCGATTTTTTTTCTCGTCGGTATTGCCAATAACAACAACAATATATTTATGGCCCAGCCATTATTGCTGTTGTTGCACGTAAATGCATCGCTGTGCTTAAAGTGATTTCGACGTTTTCGATTCTTGTTATTGTTTTTGTCTGGGCTTTCTGTCTTTCATCTAAGCTTTTCATTGTAATAATTTTCTTCTTATGAAAAATTATTTGCCTTTTTTGGGTTTTAACCGTTATTTTGCGATTTTGATATTGAAGTCGTTTGCCTCAAATTGTCTCGCTATGAAATGGGGCAAGCCGAGTTACGACATTTGCGCTGAGTTTGCAAGTAAATTTAACCGCAATTACTAGCACAATAATAGCAACCTAACAGTGAAGTTGAAGCGAATTTTTATATATCTGAAATAAATTTTCTAAAATGGTGAGTTGTAATAATTCCTTTCAATTATATCTGCGTTTAGTGTAACTAGCGGAATATGCTAATGTCGAGCTTTTACATGCTTATGTCTACATCAATAATTATAGAATAAACTGGAAGCTGGATAAGGTTTTAACGCGAACTTCTAACTACTTCTCCATATCAGAAAGTGCTTGAAAATATATTAGCTTATAGATTGAACAACAGCTGATAACGAACATAAGTCCAAAATTTGAAAGTAAGCAAATTTAAAGGAAATAAGAAAATACATTAATTTCGGTCGCACCGAAGCTATAATACCTTCCACAGAGAAAAAATTTTCCATATAAAAATTTGATTTTAATTCATGGGTTTATATGGCAGTTATATGCTCTAATGGTCTGATCCAGACAATTTGTTCGGAGATTGTACCGTTGATTATGGACAACAATGTATGCCAAATTTGGCGAAGATATTTTGTTATATAAAAAAGTTTTCCATATAAGGACTTGATATTATTATTTCTAGGGGTGATTCCTTTGAAGGGGCAAAAAAGATATTCATGAACAAATAAACAATTAATAAAGAAATACAAAATTCGCGATACTTTTTGAACGAACGTCTTTTATACACAGACGGACATGGCTAAGTCAATGCAGCTCGTCATGCTGATGATTTATGTATATTTTTAAAACTCAATATACGCTCTTCAAGGTATAAAAATACGCATTAAAAGTGCAAAAATGAGGGATCTACTATGCATTAAAAGGTCGAAAAATATTCTGTTATTATTCGCAAAGTACCCGCTGTATTAAATTTCTTCCATGTCCATGGACATAAATTTAAATTAAATTAACTGAATTATTAAATCTAAATTAATTATACAACACTAAATTTTTTAATATAATGTTATATTGTACATTTTTTTTATCCAAAAATCTAGATCAAATATGATAAAGCTTTACCTCGGCTGACCTGAGACCAAAAATTATTCGTTGAAGATTGAGACATTATAATTAAATTTTTTTTTATTTTCTAGATATTTTTACATATAAAATAGAGTAATAGTTGTCAAACTAATCACTATCGCATATTTTTTGCAATTCTGAACTTAAACTGTATAAATATAATATATAAGTTTAATTTTCACTACAATATTTATGGAACTTTATGTATTTAACTCGACTAAATGTCTGGTGTTGAATTATTCGTCAGCTGTCGTAATAAGATTATGTGTAAAATATATGTATACGAAGGAGACTTCCCTTTTTTTCCCCAATACTCAGTTTGATGTTAATAATGAAGCTAGTGAAAAGAGTTGCCATACTGGAACCTAGTTTGTTGTTGGAAGACATGTATAATATAGGTTCACATTGTCTAAAACAAGACCTATATTATAGAATTCATTAATAATTAATTCAAGAAAAGCGCACAAAATCGCTGATGCTTAACCTGTATTACTAGAAAATTCTCAACTACAACAACAACAAAAAGTATTTACAAAGAATTTTAATTGCGAGATCGCCGAATAGTGTTTGCCGCTGCATACAATCAGTGTCGAAAAATCAAGCAGCGATAAAATGCAACAATAAACAACAACCACTTCTACGTCAATATTGGCAAACGGATCTGGCGTTATTTATGCACACCCACTTCCTAGATAGTATTGCGACTTGTTTTCATACACAAAAAGAAACAAATGAGTAATACCTATATGTGTTTATATGTCAGCAAGCATGTGTGCGTATTGTGCTCATATCTCCATCGCAAAATTAATAAATCTGCCTTAAATGGCATGCGAATAGGCGGCAAATATTTTTGACTGCTTGCCACATGTGACAGGCCGTATAAATATTTTTCCCCAACACCTTATGGAAATGCAAATTTGGTTGGCAAAAATATTTAGCAGCTGCCGGCCTGCCTTTGAAACTGAAATCGCAACTTTTTGCTACGCACAACATTTTTTCATACCTTTTTTTATTTTTTTCGGCTGCCAAATCATATTTGAGATTTGCGAAATTTTGTTAGCGCATAACTGTTTACTTATTAGTTCTTCAGCGCGTGCGTTGGCTTGTCGGACAACGTTTGGGCGTTTTGGTTTATCGGTAGGCGGATTTTGCGTGTTAATTAGAAAAAGCAAACCTGTCGTGTGCATAAAGATGGAAAATTTCGAGAATAAATAGAAAAAAAATGTTTTGTTGTGGTATTGTTTTGTTTTTTTTGTGTTGCAATTTAGCTAACAAACAAGTCGTGTGTGTCCATAGTTAGCACTTGTACCGTTCATTGGGTGTTAGTTTATGAACTGATATGCGACACTTGTGTTCAAAGCTATTATTTGGCTATTATAATATTATTATATAGAGTTAACATATGTTTCATAAATTGCTTGCAGAGCAAATTATTGTAATTTTGTTATTAGCAAAATTTTCATGGACATCAATAAATACTCAAAATCATTAGGTATTTCAAAATCTATAATTGTGCCAAAAAGAATAATTTATTAAATTAACTTTGGTATATATTTATTTAATGCTCCAGCCGCAGAGGTTTGATAGACAAAGAGCATCCCACTTGATTCACTAGTTCTTAAACCATTATAAAATAAATGGAAAGTATTTAATTATTAATCCATTATTATTAATCCATATTTATTACAACAACGCCAATAGAATTGTTTTGTTTCACTTGTTCATTAAAGCAGTCTGCCACTCTAAAGACTAAAGATACCAACTTGTATGGCAATGAACAAAGAAATCAACATTACATACGCAAAGATATGTATGAGTCTGCGTGTATGCGTATCCTTTTCTAACAGAAAAGGCTACAAGTAAGATAAGTAATTTCAAAAAATTAAAAGGTAAAAATATATATATGTATATCCTTATATATCAATAAATGCCACATCCGTGACTTGTCTATTCGCTCCAAGCTCATTTATTAGAGCTTTCAAAAGCGCAAATAGTTTCCGGGTCCATAATGAAGTGTCCCGTCAATTCCACGGAACCACATTTAGTCACAGCCATAATGGAGCGAAAGCATCAATAAGGTAACACTGACAAATGTGTGTTGGATGGGTTTCAATTGTGTGAAATGCACGCGCAGATGATGGAATATACGCTCATATACTTATAAACATGTTTTTAATAAGTGTGAAGTTATTTTTCACAGAATTTGTTCTCTGCTTTGCCCTAGTATTTTTTCGATTCTTTAATATTTTGCTTAAATTTTTTCTGTCCGCTCTTGAAACTCAAGCCTGGTTACACGCAAGTATCTATGTTTGTATGTATTATTTTTTTAAATTCTGTCTAAATTACTATTTGCCAAAGTGAGGGACAATTGTAAATTAAGATTTTTTCTACACATTTATTTGTTAAGATGCTTAAAACGCAAATTTTTAAGTTCTTTTTTTTTAATTTATGTATTTACAGTGGAAACACTAAACAATGATAATGGACTATTGATGAGGGAGGTGCCGATTCTGCAGCGGGTAGCAACGGCAGCAGAAGCAGGGACATCTCAAATGGTAGATGTGAGTATACTATACAAACAACCGAACCAACACCGCTAGCGTCCAGTGGTGTTTTTAGCAGATCAGCACTCTCCTGTTTTTCATTAAGCTCTGCGGGTGCTACAACCGGCGGTAGTACTGTCAATCGAAAAGCCACAGCTGATACAGCGTTGCTGGTAAGTAACAAATACAAAAGTGCGAAAATATAACCAAAGTAATTACTTTAATGCTAGAAACAGTTTTATTTTTGTTTTTGTTAGGCCGCAACAAATATTTTATCAAATTAAGATTACAAAATTTTTTTCAGAATCTACATTGTTGGCTTCGGCCCATACGGTTCATCGACCGGTGCCACTAATAATCATGTAAAAATGGAGGGAAGCGTCTGGGACGCATGCTAGCAGAAAACAATAGGAAATTATTATTTTTTGAGAACTGCATACATTACAGCCCATCGTCAATACTTGATGACAACGAACTCATATTCTTCGGCGAGGAGGGTATGTCCGAAGTATGCTTGGGCAGTGTATTTTTCTAGTTCCAGTGCATTTTCTGTTGTTGTGTTGCACTTTAGCTTTAAGAGGGAAATGGCCAGAAATGAGTTAACGCAGCAGTAAAGTGAAGTTCCTGAAATGCATTGCAGCTGATGATCGGCTAACCTGTTCGTGATTTTTTGATTTTAAATTATTATTCTATTATCTAGATGAAGGTTAGTACTTTTTTAGATTTTTCTCCGCTAAGGCTTAGCTTTTCTTAACCTCTAACAAACTGTCGATATTACCTTTGAATAATATTAAATAAAATTCTTTAAAATTACTTAAAAATATATTTTGTTATTTGATTTATTGTGGATCTAAATGGGTTTGAAAAAAAAAATGAAGAAAAGGTGAGTGGAAACCAGAGCTAACTTAACATAAATATTTTTTTCAGCAGAATTTCATAAGTTATAAATTTTTGATCTGACAATCATGATTATTGAAATTAACGAGATTTGATTAAATGTTTTATTATAAAATAAATAACGCAGGCTTTTATTTTGATTTTGATCGGTCAGTTTCAATGCCAGCTATATGCTATAGTGGTCCGATACGTGAGCATATCCTTCGGAAAATCGTACGGGTGCAAAATTTCAGATCAATATCTCATAACTGAGTGATTAGTTCTCGGTTGTACAGATATACAGACGATATAGAGAGAGGGACCATTAGCTCTGCCTAAGAAATATGTGGAAAAAAAAACGTTGCTTCTTTTTTTTTAATTGCTAATAAGAATGTCTTTTCAATATGTTAAATATCACAGATTATATAATCCAAGTGCAATTTTAAAACAGAACTAAAATAGTATTTAACCACGCTCTACTAAATTTTCAATATGAAAACATGTTCAAAAGACTCCCGGACAGATTGAGTGTTGATGCTTAATGCAAACAATAACAAGAAAAACGCTCACAGTTCATTCTACAGTAGTCGATAATGTCTACTTTAGATGTGCGCCCACTGTGCGGCAGGTGATGCACTCACAAGCGGCATAAGTATGTATACATGCAATGATAAAGTCTGGTTTTCTTCAGTATATGAAGTACCTACTAAGGTCCAAAGTCAAGGGTAGTCCGAAATCACTATCAAGGGTAAATTGGGGCTAGGGGAAGGTCTTAAATGATTGTATTAACTTTTAACACTACTCAAATATAGGTAGGAAGGTAGGTGGAATGGCTGTCTGACAACCCACATTGTGAAACCACCGGAACTCAGATCGTCTCACTTTATTGTTCATCAGTACAAAAATTTGTGTAAGCTCCGAAATATCGTCAAGAATTCCTCGATCGATGGTTGCGATTGTTTTCCTACTATACGAATATACAGAACTTTACATTCCGCATTGAAGATGTTTGATAGTCTCCTCCTTTTCTACCTCCTGACAACTTCTACAATAGTCATTATATGGCGTTTCTAGCCTGCTGGCATGCCTGCCAATTAGACAGTGACCGGTTAGTACTCGTCGTAGAGTTATTAAGTAGCTAGCATGAAAAATTCCTCTTTTTCGTGGTCTACCTTTAGGGTGGTGCCTGTTGTGGCTAGTCCATCTGATTCGCAGTTACCTGGAATATCAGCATGTACTGGAAGCCATTGCATTTTTATCATGAAATAGGATGTTAGATCCACTACTCAAGTATACATATTTCCAAGCCATTTTCTGAAGATAATTTACACACTGACCGCTAAATACCAGATTTGAGTTCATTTGACTACAGTTTCTGATCAGAGTAGAAAAACATGTCCTATCGAATACCCCACAGAAAGTGTGTCTACTAAAGACTAGTAGAGTAACTACCAATAAAAAGCTGTGCGTGCTAGTATTCATTTCAATGGGGTACTAAGTTTTATCGAGATCTCTTCAATTTTACTTAAGTTATCGTTTGTAGGGAGATACGGACGGTCAGACAGTTATTCGGAATTTCATTCGTTTCGTCATCCTGGTCATTTATACACACATAACTCTTTATCCAACCCGAATAGTTTTAGGTGTTACAAACAACTGGTGATCAAACTCATAATACTCGGTGGTAGCATGATGCGAGACTATAGTAAAAGAGGTATATCTCATAGTAAACCGTTAGAAATTCCAAGTATTTGTAATATAAAAGCACGAAATCAAATATTCAAATTCTTAGCAGAAGTTCAAAAATCAAGTGGCTTTCATTGCTTTTTTTTATTCCCACCCAATGCCGAACATTCTCAATTACCACATTCGTTAAGTAACAACAACCACTTAACCGACGACCAGCCCCCAATAACACCACCAACAGGAATATTCATTTCAGTTAGACGCTGCCATTGGATCCGAGTGAACGCTTTGCATGCAACAACATCACACGCACACACGTCTAGGTAGATTGGAAGAGTTCTAGTTAGAGCGCTTTCCGCATCGTCGAGATGAAGTTGTCCAACATTTTAATCAATCCGGCGGTTGGCTTCTGTCCCGTCGCGAGAGCCATGGCAGTGATCAGTTCGGAAGCAGTAAAAATTTAAAATAATACCTGCACACACATACAAAGTATTAAAATTAAACTACAGCAACTTGTTAGCTGTTTGAATTTCTTAAAGTAAAGTGACGCTGACAAGATTTCAAGCTGATCAGCAGCCGACACAGGCACATCATGGCATGTCTCTAAATTGCGAGACAGCTTGGATTACTAAAAGTGCACACAAACAACAAAGACAAAAAAAAACTTTAACTTCGGTTGTTCGAAGCCCTTTACAATTTACAATAACACCCTTCACAAATAAAAAATTTGCTTACAAGAACTTGATTTTAATTGGTCAATTTACGTGGCCGTTATATGCTATAGCGACTCGATCGGAGCAATTTCTTCGGAGATTTCATTGTTGCCAAATTTCTTCAAAATATCTCGTCAAATGTATGTATGTTGTACATACACGCCCTTGACTCCGATCGCTCAGTTTGCATGGCAGATATGTGCTATAGTGATCCAATATTCACAGAAAAGGACGTGTGTGTGACATGGCTAAGTCGAATTATCTCGTCAAATATATATATTTTATAGGGTTTCCGATTTCGATTGCACACTTAATATACACCGTTCAGGGTATAAAAAGGATAGGAATTGTTTCATAATCAAAAGAGCAGGTGAAGAGAATTGTAGAAATACACACACATATCACCAAAGAGATAGCATAAGTCGCCGTCGCTGTTCTTGCTGCCACAAGTTGCAAGCTGCGTATAGATACATTGGTGCTGGGACTCTCGGAGCTCGTCAATATCATTAAACCTTTATTTTAACGAAACGGCAACATGTTGTGCATTAATTAGACAGCCAACTGTGAGTGAGAAGGGCAGACCACAACAAACAAATAAAGAAATAAAAACTAAAAGCAAGCAAAGTAAAATTTTTGTAGCGCTTGAGCGACAAAAAGCGCAGAATAAACATTTGAGAAAACATAAAAATAGAAAAGTTTTAAAATTACCTTTCAAACCATGGGTGGTGCACCGCAGCGCCACCAACGAGCTGCAACTATGTGAAAATAATCAATTCATAGTCGGCGTTGAAGTCGCCTGCGCTTTGGTCGGCGCTTTTGTATCATTCTCTTTTCTTTTACGAGTATGCATATATGTGTGTGTGTGTAGCTTTTATTTTTGTTTGTGCATTGGGCCATCAACGAGCATAGAATTTATTCTTTTTCGATTATCTGCAACCTGCAGTCAAATGTAATTAAACGACATTAATTGGCTATACATACATACAAACATCTATGTGTACTGCCTCATTTCGACAGTCACTGTATTCCTAGTCGCAATTGCTTGCCGATAATTGTTCGTTTTCTGTTTTAAATTATTAATTTCCTATTGCCTTTTTACGCTGTTTTCCGATTGTAAATCTTGATTAATCATCCAATTCGCAATTGATTGTTCGATTCTTCTACAAGGGGCGCCACAGGAACAAGTTACCCATTATGTTACAAATTATACTGCGGGATGCTAGTGCTAAACTACAGATGATTTAGTTTTAGGTGCTAGGACTCAAATGGTGATCTATTCATACATATTTAGTATATATATAGATAGAGGTATTTCAAAGGCTTTTAAACAAATGCTCTCGCGTAATTTACTTTTGAGAATGGCTTCTACTTATTTATCTTGTCTGTTTTTCAGGCTCTGCAACAGTCATCTCGATTATAGCGAATTAGTGTTTCCTTCAACATAATATGTAATCCTAAATTGTTAAGGCATTTCTTAATACGCAAGTAAAAAATGGTGGCCAGCACACACTTTCCCAGAGTCAGTTACAATCATGCTGGAATATGACCAGAATGATGCTAACATCACAAAGAAAACTCTCAAAGCACAAACTCTGATTCTGATTTCTCGAAATTCCTATTACTGCAGGTTCTACTTTGCGAGCTTCCACTGCATTTTAAGAATAAATTTTGAATATTTAATAAAAAATAGTTTTCTCACGCTCCATATACATATACGTGCTGGTGCGCATTCCGAAGCAATATGTTGCTGATTTACCGGGCGTCTGGCATAACCATTTAATTTCAATACATTACTTAAACGTTTAAAACGGTTGAAAAAATATATGCTAGTTATGACGGTTTCGGATCAGCACTGTAGCTTTTGCACTATTGTTTTTAACAAGTGTGTTTGTATAATGATATAAACCGTTTTAATTAAGAACTGTCCTTATAAATTTCTACGCCTTTTCTGGTGCTTCGTTCGTGGCGATTGTAGACCACAGTTACTCCTTCCTGTGGGTCAAACGCTTGGCGTTGCTACAGGCATTTTGACAGGTGCTGCGGTGGGCCTACCTCTTGCCGGCGGCGTGGCTCAAGGCGTTCTTACACCTGTGGGTAATGTACCGCAAAGTTTGCCTATAGTTGGAGGAGTTCTGGGTGGTTAATCATTGCTTTTTGCAACAGCTTACAGTAATCTATTCAAATTAGTATTAAAATAACTAAAAGATCGTGTAATAATGCAGTATTAATGTTATAAAATTAATTAAATGGGATTTTGAAATAATTAGAAATATTGATTTTTTTATTATAGTTTTGGTTGCGGTTGTGTAGTCGCTTGAATTTATGATAAATTGATATCGTTTATATACTGATTCACTTCTTTCAAAAAAGTTTCATGAAGTGGTGCGTGTGTTTCATGTCAAGAGATCATCACTTTAAACTTCAGTTGTTCGTAGGAGCGTATGAGTTTAATTCTAGCTGTCGCCAAGAAGACAAATATGAGTCCAAAAGAAAAGTATTTAACACGCGAAATCACATTGACCCATCTCTTCTTGTCGCAAAGGAATGA